TGAAATAATGTATCTAATAAAATGTTGATGTGACAAAGTAAATATAAAATGGCTACTAACCGAATAGTAACCTCATTTCATAGAGGGAAGCCTTACTAATGATTTACTTTTGTTTTTAGTAACGATTTTGTGCTTGAATATTCGTTTAATGCGCTACTTTTTACAAACAGAAGTTGCAATGCCACGTTGCTCGAAAACTGAAGTAGCTTCCTTGCAAACCACTTTTTCAGAGTATTCTGAATTGTAATGAAATTTTAATGAACTAGTAAAGATCTCATCCGATTTTTGGCAGAATTTTCTAAAATGAAACAAACTGTGCACACTTAGATTCTTTTACGAGATTTCTGAAGAAAATCGGTAAAGCAATGAAAATAATGCTGCTATGTGAAGGATTTCTTGCAGAATTTTCTTTATTTTTCATACAGAAATTCCTTTGTGAGTTCGTGTCAACCACTTCATATAATTTTCATTGAAGATTCGTAAAAAAATTGTTACGAGAAATGAGATACTCCCTAAAGATTTCGTTAAGATATCGGGAATTCTGGTGGGTTTGCACTCAATCTAGTTTATGTGCATTTTCTCGCCCCTCAGCAGGCAATGACAAAACTTCTTGAGTGTATTTCTGCCATGAAAACGCTTCTCATAACATCCATTTGCCATTTCAGCATAAAACTGTAGGTTCCTCCATTGATGTAACAACATCAATAAGCACACCACAAATAGGAGCAGCAGCAAAAGTGTAAGCGCCAAAATAATGATATTATTATATAGTATATTAATGTTATTATTATCATTATAGCAATGTCAATGCCCAATATTTATTGATTTTTAATGATGATAGGACGTGCTCTAAAATGTGTTGGTATATTAATAAATTATTTCCATACGCATTTTGAATTGAATTATTGTTATTTTTACGTGTATTAAAACTCGCAAACTGAAGTAGGATTTAAAGTAAATGAGCTCTGACTCTAGAACAAGCTAAAATGATGTATTTATGTCGCCTATTATCTGCTAATAACTATGTATATTTTTTATTGAAAGTTTCGCCATTTTTTCAAAACAATGACTTACTTTCAAATTGTTATTCGCTGATATACTTTCGCGTATTATACATTATCATCTCAGAGAACACCAGCAGATGTTATGCGTAAGCTGCACATGCCACCAGCAGCAGTATAGCAGCTTTTGATTATCCTTAGTGTGCGTTCATTTGTCATAGCAGAAGAATCTGGGGGTATTCCAATGGATAAGCGCAAACGAGGTGCTCGGCTCCAATATTCACCTAAAGCTGGACGCATACCTTTGCCACAACCATGGCTTGGTGAGGCTGTAACTTCTTCAATATGTTCTTCATATTCTATTATTGATAAATTTGCAATATTAGAAATATTATTCACATGGCTAGCAAGGCCTTATTGTTTACCTTCATCTTCGGCTGCTAGTGTTTCTTCTTCAATATTCACTATCAAATTTACATAAATAAAAGCGATATGATGCTCTTTGGATAACTTATACACCAAGTTGTTCAATGTCGTCAACAAATATTTTCCTAAAATAGTAATAATAGCCTCGTTTTAACCTTTTTAATGAGCATTAATAAACCAACCTCTTAAATGCTCAGTTTCCGTGCGATGTGTAAAAAACACTGCCGCCAATGCATCAATTACGACTAATTTTAAATTACTCAAATCTGAGTTGGTTCCAGCCGTCAACTGTGTTAGCAGTTTTTCTAATATATCACATGTACCTTCAGCAGAGCTTGCACGCTCCACCAGTACTTCTTGCATTATACGCCCACAGTCCTTATTTNCCCTTGGTGTCGATGTATAAAACAGTCCCATGTGATTGCGCTACGAAATTAAGGGCCATTGTGTGACACAATTGAGTTTTGCCAGCACTTGATTTGCCGCAAATTTCCCATATACTACCAGTTTGAAGTGGTATTTTAGCGGTTAGTATATCGAAGCTGCTGGCAGAAAAACAAAGTGCTTGATGAAATTGTTGATCATATCCTTTTTAAAATATGTACTTACTTTTCGATGCCAGTTTTGTATACTTTAGCAGTTGTTTTTTTCTTAAATAAAATACATTGTTGGCGCGGGAAATAGTCTTCACCCAACTTTTGTTTAATTTCCAAAAGAGCAATTTCCGACAGACCCGTAATTTCCATTAATTCTGCATTAGTTGTGATGAGCAGCTCGTATCTCGACGTTATA